TGGACTCATTTAACAGAAAGCCAGGACCAGCGTGAGGCTGGGGAGCCAGAATGGGATTGATGGGTGGAACAGAGCAGGTCGGTGAAGAGAAAGGCATTAAAGAATTACCAAGTGACGGACTTTTATTTTACAGCTTCTCCATGTGAGGGAAATGGTCCCACTGGAGGAGGGATATGAATGCAGGGGAGACAGTGCAGTCAACTGCCATGTTGGACATGGATCCCTGGACTTGGTGTGGAGGCCCTGGTGGGAATCCTGGTACCGCCACTCACCAGCTATGCCCTTCAGCAGAGTCATTTAACCCTCATGAGCCTCAGCTGCCCACGGTGGTGTGAATTCAAACGATGCCTTCACATGCTCAGCAAGTGCCTCACACCTAGTAGGAATTCACACTAGTTGGCACAGATGGCATTGGAACCCCTACCATTTAACACGTTTTCCACTACACACCAGGCACTTGGTTGGGCAATAAGAGCTGCCAATGGATAAGAGAGACCTGACTTTATAAAGAGACGGGCACAGAATCGATGATGTCAATACAGTCTGGTAAGGATTCTGAGCAAGACAGACATGGGGTCATATGGTACCCCACATATTAAATGTTTCAGGGTACTCTTGATGGCATGGCCAATGGGGTTGATGAAAGGATTCGTAATTATCTGCCTCTCCTTCTAGAATTCAAGGTCCACCAAAACGGGAACACTGGTGGTCTTATTCAGCACTATGCCCATTAGAAGCACTGTGGGGAGAAGCGGGTGAGGCAATGGTTAAGGTGATGCTTAAATAAAGGAGTCAGCCAAGTGAAGAATAAGGTTAAGGACAATACAATCAAGTGGAACTGTATGAACAAAGGCAAAGAGACTGGAAGTACAGAAGGATATACTTAGGGAATTAGAGAGGCGGGTTGTTGAAACAAAGAGTACAAAGTATGGAGTGTAGGGGTGAGGTGAGAGGACCTGGCAAGGGTAAGACCATAGAGAACGTTGTTTACCAAACTAAATATGGTGCTGGTGTGGGTAAACAGCCATGTGGGGGAGGCCAGAGTGGGTGGCTGCTGACATGGGCTGATTTAACAGGATCTGAAACATTCACTCCAACCCTAATATACGCTTTCCTTACAAGCCTGCCAAAACACCAATGATTTTTTTTTTTTAAACTACCAAGCCCAAAGTAATAACCGTATTAACAGCTGTTACTTCTTAACTAATTAGTTTATCAGATTTGTTAGCCAGATCAATTTTCACAACCACCATGTGAGGTAGGTACTGTTATTATCTCATCTTACAAATGAGAAGACCAAAGCACTGAGAGGTGGAGTGGCTTGCCCAAAGTCACACAGCATGCAGGTAGCAGAGTCAGGATTCAAACTTAGTCACCTTGGCTCCAGGGTCCATTCCCTGAACTACCATATTATCTTCAATCTGTCTTGTAGTTCGCCATTCTCTCTTCAGCTGAATGCAGCCACCGTTTAACCCACTTGATGAATTTTTAATTTCTATAACTCTATTTTTCAATTATAGAATTTCTATTTAGTTCTCGTAAAATGTCTGCTTTTTGGCCATATTATCCTGTACTTGGCCTATGGTTTCTATTTCCTCTTTCACCAGGAAACATTTTAAACATATCTACTCTCTCAAATTGGTCTATTGCTTTTAGTTCCTAAGATATGAACTTCTCCATGTGTTTTGTCTGACTCTCACTAATGGTGGCTTTTTTTCCCTCTCTTGAACACACTATAATCTTTAAAATTACTTAACGTCAGGAGTTCTGTTGTTTTGTGGTTTTGAGTTTTTAGATTTTGTTTTTGGTGGGAGACCCATACGTGCTGGGCTGTTGAGACGTTTTTTGACAATGATTTTTGGCTTTAGGCTGTCCCCTGTCAGGATATCATAGTTTAATCAATTCCAGACCAAGTTTGTACATTATCTTCTTGGTTTGTGGCTTGTGCACTATAAGAGAAGTATACCAACCCCATACCCATGGAGAACACAGGTCGGGGTTTTGATTTCTTGTGGGTGATCCCAGTGGCCCAGGGTGGTTGATAGACTTCCATACCAGATCCTTGGCAGAATTTTCCTTATTTCATGCTCAGGTCTGTCATTCCTCATTGACAGCCTTGGAAAGGAGTTTGTTTCCTATGGCCTCAGCTCTCATCCCTATAGGATTCTGAAACTCCAGCCCCTAAGAACCATACATACTTCCCATGTTTTCATAGGTCCTTTTGTTTCATTCCTTCCCACTGAACACTGCTTGTTCTTCAATTTGGGCACCTGGAGATTTCTCCTTTCTGCATACCAGCCTGGTGATGGATTTTTTTTTCCCTTGTGTATTTACACTAGCATCTCTCTGTGATTGGGAGGAATGTCCCTTGACAACTCAATCTGACCAGAAAGTTTTTCTTATGCCTTTAGATATCAGTCCTTCTCTCTTGGCTCTGAGTTCAAGGAGGACAGAGACCTTGGTCTGACTCATCCTTTTTTGTTTTGTTTTTTTGGCTGCGTTGGGTCTTCGTTGCTGCACGCAGGCTTTCTCTCTAGTTGTGGCGAGCAGGGGCTACTCTTGGTTGTGGTGCGTGGGCTTCTCATTGTGGTGGCTTCTCTTGTTGCGGAGCATGGGCTCTAGGTGCATGGGCTTCAGTAGTTGTGGCATGTGGGCTCAGTAGTTGTGGCTTATGGGCTTAGTTGCTCTGCGGCATGTGGGATCTTCCCGGACCAGGGCTTGAACCCGTGTCCCCTGCATTGGCAGATGGATTACCACTGCGCCACCAGGGAAGTCCCTGATTCATCTTTTGATCCTGAGTCTTCAGACTGTGCCCAGATCAGAGTCAGAAGCAATAAAGAATTGATCAAAATGAGTGAATAAATGAATCAATCAGCTTCCGCTTTCATTCTAAGGGGGAACTAAAGACCACATACTAATTACCTTCTAGAGAAAGAAGACACCAAGAACCCCTGGAAAGCCATCCAAGCTCTCTGGAAGGTCATGCTAAACAATCAAAGGAGTTTGGGGACTGCCTTAGTTCCACCCTTTGGCCAGTAGGTTCCACCCTACTACTTGACACTACTTTCTTGAAGGGCAACAGCTGCTAATTACAGTGCTGGTCTGCTAGAAATTCAAAGTCTGGCAGGCTAGGTAGCTGACTGGTGGCTCTGCTGCCTTTTTAGCACATACTGATGTCCTTCTAGAGCCGTAACTGGAACTTGATCAGTAACAGGTAGTGTGCAATGATATAATTTTTTCTGTTGGTGCTATAAGGAGCTTGCCAAGTAAGTTCACATACTCGAAAGCCCCTGGCACACTGCATGGCACAGAGTAGGCACTGCTTTAACATTTAGTATGCTTTATTTCTTCTTTTCCATTAAAAAAAAAATCCACGAATATTTGTTGAAAAACTACTGCCTCCTAAGCATTGTGCCTGGTGCTGGAGATGGAGAGGCATAACATGCAGTCCCTATTTTAATCCTTAACTAGAAAAAGAATGTCCAGATCAAATTTGATGATAAAAAATGATCCTAAATGTCCTTTTATTTAAGGTGAAAAGACATCTCACCTCATCCTGCCACCCTAAAATGCCTAAAGAGCATAACCAACAAAGTAAATTTTCTCATTACTGGTTTATAAAGTAACATTCTCATTCCTCAGAGAGGAAATCTAACTCCCAGTAAATACATGAGCAGACAGAAGACAGCTGATCATAAAAGGCAATTTTTGACAATGATTTTTGAGCTCCTTTTATCACTATAATCCCAGAACCTAAAATCATGCCTGAACTAAAGTAGAAACTCAGTAAGATTGTTGAATGTATCTGTATATATATATATGGATGTGGCCCATCCATCTATATGACTACAGTATGACTCACCTGTCATTCCATTCATATTTATTGAGGATTTCCTATGAATGAGAGTCTCTACTAGATTTTTTTAATAGAGACAGGGAAAAAAAACAAAGAACAAAATAGATATCTTACCTACAAGGAACTTCCAGGTTTAAGGGCGAGATAGACAAGTATGTAAATCACCATGATATAACATAGAAAATGCTAAGAGAAGAACAGAGAAAAAGACTATGGGGGTTCCAAATACAGAAAGGCCACTTCCTGCTG